GCCAACATGCGGTGGAACATGTGGACGGCAGATGTGTCCACGGCATTCCTTCAAGGCCGATGCCAAGACCGCAAGCTATGGGTGAAGCTTCCCAGCGAAGCACTTCAGTTGCTCGGGGCTGACCATGACACCCGAATGTTGCTGCTCAAGCCCTGTTACGGGCAGATTGATGCTCCACGAGGTTGGTACCTGGAGGCAGTTGACCGCCTTCTGCGTGCTGGACTCCGACAGCACCCCTTGGACCCGTGCGCCTTCCTCATTTACGAGTCCGATGCCAAGGACTATGTGATGCTGGATCGCCGATCTATGAGAAGGTGAGCACTCTTGGTCCAGAACGCCTTTGCGGCATGGTCATCATGCATGTGGATGACATGCTCGATGCTGGATGTCCTCACTCACCTCGATACAAGGCCGTCACCGACCTTCTGAAAGAAAACTTCTCCTTTCGTGAGTGGAAGGAGGAAGAGCCTTGCTTGGAGTACTGCGGACGCCAACTCGAGAAGACAGCATCCGGTGGCCGTCGCCTTCACCAAGAGCAGTACATGGGCAAGCTCAAACCCATCAGCTTCTCCAAAGGGCGCCCCATGTCCGAGCTTTTGTTGGACAAGGAGATCACCCAGGTGCGAGGACTCCTGGGATCGCTTCAATGGCCTGGAGTACAAACGTCTCCACACCTGCAGTGCACCACGTCCATGCTCTCAGGCCAGATCACCAAGGCCACAGTCCAGACAATGCACGAGTGCAATCGTCTCCTTCGCTTCGCAAAAGAGAACAAGGATGTGAGCCTCAGCTACAACCACCTATGCCACCCTGATGAGCTTCAGTTGGTCTGTTTCTTTGACGCTGGCTTCACCGCAAGGTGTGATGGAAGCTCACAGGGAGGCTACATCACGATGATGGTTCATCGGGAGCTTCTCACCTCCTCCGAAGAGGGCGAGTACCATGTTCTGGATTGGAGGAGCTTTCGCACTCCTCGTGTTGCTCGCAGCAGCCTTGGCGCCGAAGCTCAGGCTGGAGGACAGGCAGTTGACGCCGTCGACTTCACATGCCGCTATTGGCACCACCTGTTGCACCCCAACACCAAGCTCAAGGAGCTTCTTGAAGTGAAGTCCGACCTCAAACCAGTCCTCATCACGGACGCCAAAGCCCTCTACGATTCCTATCATCGAGAAGGGATCAGTTCCTCAGTTGTGGATAAGCGGGTGTCGCTTGAGATCCGCGTGATGAAGGAGCGGTTGGAAGAGCTTTCTGGTTCCCTGCGCTGGATGAGCTCTGAGCGGCAGATTGCCGACGGTCTGACAAAGGAGTCAGCCCGTGTCCTGCTTGCCTCCCGACTTCGACATGGAAAGCTGAAGTTGACATGGGACCCTCACTACGTGGCCCACAAGAAGAAGTCGAAGGCTGAAAAGGCAGCCGCGATAGCAGAGTCTACCGCACTTCCACCACTCCCACGTCTGGTCGCGACACGCGCTGAGGACATGATGGAGGATGAGCACCCTCTTGGCACCGAGGCCACCTCTCAGAATGACATACTCCTGAGGCCAATGAAGTCTGGCCGAATGAGGAGCTGCCTGAAGAGAATGACCTGCGTGACATTGTCAGCTTTGCTCAGAACCCGGCTCGCTACAGTATATGTCGACGCCCGGAGCCATGTCGCGCCAAGCCGCATGGACATTGTCGACCAGAGTCGCTTGAAGAATCTGTTTCTTGGTTTACTGAGTTTTTCACTGCTGGCAGCCGGAAAGGCTGAGTCGGATGTTTGCTCGAAGCCTGATGTTCACGCCCCTGAAGACACTGGAGATTTCTGGCTGAGCGTGTTTCTGTTTTTGCACCTCGGCTCATGTTCATTTGTGGCCGCATGTCGAAGAGGTCACAGTTTTTTGAACGTCTCGCCACCTCCGAAGCCGGTGTACAGAAGGATGATCCGATTGTTTTGCAGCGCTGGCGCGAGATCGCCAAGGCAGAAGCTCAGCAGGCTGGAGAATCCAAGGCCGCTGCTCGAGAAGCCCAATCTGCTCTCAACTTGCAGATCCAAGAGATCGCAGAATTGCGGTCGCTAGTGGAGTGTGCCGACCAATTGCTGGAAGCATTGGTCAGGGAATTGGAGCGCCATTCACATCGGTGCCCATGTGGAAAGGAGATTTTTGTAGTGAGAAAAGGGAAATGTTGGCACATGTACGGATGCCACATCCTTGAACAGGCAGTTCCATCCAATGTACAGTCCGTGCAGGGCTGTTCCTTCTGCACTGCCAATCAGTGCCCTCCGGATCGATATGAGTATCCGGCTGGTTGGTGCATCCGCCATGACATTTTAGCTTGGCGCCAGGATGCAAGTCCTTTTCTACGCTGGACCCAAGAACGGTCCGTGTGAGTTGCATGCTAGGCAACATGGAACTTGACTTTTTCATACCACCGAGACGGGTGGGCTCGAAAGCTAAAAGGCCCTACGGCGCGGTCGCCTCGGCGACTTGTCTCTCGCGCGCGTCGCGCGACTTGGTCGTTTGGTGGTGGACTTCGTTTGCTACCACCTGGTTTTCCACATTATGAAAAACATAAATCTTTTGCTAAAAACATCAAAAAATAGCATAAAACACACACCCGCGTAGCGTCCCACGCTCTGTAGAGCCAGCGTTGTAATGGAGCCAACCACAGTGGAAAAAAGAACGACCCAAAACGCAGAGGTTGGAACACCTGATTTTATAAACCTCACCCTGAACCCATTTTATAAACAATTTCCCCTGCCAACGCCCCCCCTTGCCAGGGCCCATCGTATTTGTCCACACCCTCCCAGGAAAAAACTGACAAACCCAAACACATTCCCCCGCCAAGGCCCATCGTATTTGTCGACACCCAATCCCTGCCAAAAGGGTCTAGTATGGAATTTTATCAAAATAAAGCGGCGCGAGCCAACGCCTCCAAGCATGGTTTCAAAATTAAAATATATCTGAGCAACGGGTTTTTTGTAGACAGCATTTGAAAAAAGTTCACTGTACCAGACGTTTTCACAGAAATGCCGCAAAACAATAATATTCATGTGGCCAACCTCTTGTAAGGTCTATAAAACACAATTATTTCCTGTGTGCCTGACGTGTTTTTGTCAACTGTCTGCTTGAAATGAATTCCTGTGATCCATACGTATCCGTATCCTACAACGGTCTCCGCTTGAAGCTGAACCCTTTTTCTCTCACTCTCTTGCACGAAGTCGGGTGCAAGGTGTGGACTCCAAACCAGTTTGCTGCTGGAGGTTCAAAATCGAAAACGGTTGACACCCAAGTTGTTTGTCTTCGAAAATGGTTTGGTGCTGGAGTTGGAACATGTCCAAACCCGTTTTTTATAAAAAGAAAGGTTTGGTGCTGCGGTTCAAAGTGAATTCTTGTGGTTTTTATTGTAATGATACACGCACTCATCGTCTTGAGTGATCTAGACATAGAATAAAATAAACCCACACACCATATGCCAAACAAAATGGAAAACAACATGGAAAGTGTATCACGGCGACATTGTGGTTATAATTTCAAGATACACAACTCAACAAAAGGTTGAGCACTACAGAAATTCAATGATCTCGTCTAATGTCAAAGTTCCCTGCAACAAATGAAATGCTTGGAGGCCAACAAAACTGTTTCTAGTTTGACTAGTTTGTAAGCTTAGAAGTTATTTCTGTCAGGGAAAAATTGTTTGGATTGTTTCTCATCGCTCAAGCCTCGGGATCCACCTTTCTAAAGCCTCAGGATCCTTGAGGATTTGTCTTGGAACGTTTCTTTAAAGGATACCCGTCTAGGAGGGCTCTGGAGTGAAGGATTTGGTTTCATAAAGAAAAGTCATTTATGCCATGGAAACCCTCAGGCTGCTGATTTATACAATGAGAAACCGACCTTCGAATATAATGTCGAGACAGCATACAAGAGAACTTGATTTAAAACAAAATCGCAGACACAGTTCATTTTTTGGGAATGGATTTCCATGTAGCTTTGATCTTGAAGATCCGAAAATGTTCCATTTTTGTGGAATGCTCTTCCAACATCTGATTCATCCTCTTTGGGACAGACTCAAAAAGCCTCTGTGCGGACAAGTCTGTGATTCTGACTTTCATACATTTGCGACCTCTGCTGGATCTTTCGATTACTTGACACTTGAGACCAGGTCAGCTTTTGTCAGCTTTTTAAATTCCGGTGAGGGTGTGGACAAATACGATGGGCCTTGGCAGAGGACATGGTTTATAAAATGGGTTTGTCAGCTCTTTCCTCGGCAAAGAACTTAAGGGTTCGCTAAGATCTGGGGCTTGCCTGGTTATTGCGTACGCCCGTCGAAGGCGCAGGCAAGCAGTGCATTTCCTGCAGAAACCAGTGATTTTCTACGGCCATTGAGGAATACGATCGACGGGAATGCGGGAGTCACCCTGCGATGTTAGGAGTGTTGGATTTGACAACTAGTTCGATGGACATCCGTTCGTTTGTAGGCCTTCCTTGACCAGGCTCTTCTGCGGCAAAAAGGCGTGCAAGAAAAACACATTGGTGGAAGCATCCATAGAGAACAACAAGAGTGTTGAACCGAACCATTTTTGAAGCGTCACACATTCATGACGGGATCGGGACTTTGGTGGGCCGGACCGGACCCGCATGCCGGCTCAACACCAGCCAGGCAATGATGAGGACAGTGATTGTAAAGTCGTTTAATTTGAAACGCACAAGAGCAATGCGGGACACCAAATGAAGAAATGTACATGTACTTGCCAAGTGGCTCGAGGCAACGACGCATCTTGATTTCGAAGTTGCCCAACCCAAAGCCGTCGGCACACGGTTTGAGTTCACGTTGATGTGAATTTTGTCGAGACCTTCCCATTAGCGCGGTGTTGCGGCGTCCCGTTTTGGCTTCCAAGTTGGGACCTCGTATTGACACATGCCAAGGTGGCGCAGGATTTGTGAAAGTACTACGAAGTGAAAAGGCTATGTGATCAAATTGGCTTCGTGAAGGGTTTGTTATCCAGTTTTGTTTGACGCATTGGAGGTCCTTTGTGCCCTTTCCACTTTTCATACCACCCGCAAGATAAGAACACCATTTACTGTCTTAGTTTATGACGCACAACAGCTTGCAATGGTGGATTATTCTCGATTTGACCATATCCATACATCAGACAGCGAATCTCGGTCCAAACAGTGATGAAAAATACGGTCCGATTATATAATTCAAACATCTTCTCAGTTTTAAGATGCTTTCAAAGTGCCTAAGGAAACTGAGGAGCCACCATTGGTGGATCCAGGCCCCCCTGCAAATGCAACTCGGCCAAGAGGCAACCAATAAGCATGGCAGAGGTGACAAAGAGAAACCTGGAAAAACATACGTGCCGCGCATTTTGCATGGCTTGGGGCGAAGACCATCACAGAGCGGTACAGGTCATGGAAGACCTGGAAGATTACTTTCATCGTTTAGATGCCCGCCGATCTGAAATGGAAGCAGAGCTTGCCGGCACTGAGAACGATGACATGGCTGCAGATAACGGTGGGCATATTTGCGAGAAAAGTGGTTTGTGCGACTTGCATATGCCAATCCAAGGACCAAAGGTCAATGCCATCAGTGGAAAGATTCAATGATGACGATCTTGGCATGCTTGTCCGCAAACGCTGTGAGTTTGCGTTGGAATGTGCTATATGCCTAGCCGACGTGTTGGCCGGAGAGGACTGACATGATGTAACCCAGCTGGATTTGCAAGTCAGGGACGCGATGTAGCCATGTAAATGCAGGCAAAAGGTGCATCACCGCATCACATGTATTCGTTATGAATGGATGGTGTTGCGAATGCCGGCACTCAAACGACACGGCTGCAGGATACCATTCAGTTGCCGTGTGCGGCCCGTCACGTGTTTCATGATGAGTGTGCCCGATCGTGGCTTTCACGCAATGTAACATGCCCACTGTGCCGGGTGGATGTGCCTTGGACAAATCAATGCAACAAATGGCGGATAGTTCAAAAGAAAAGGTTGAACGTCTTACATAGACACCGACACACCCATCTATGACATGCCGGTGGCCGCATGGGTCCCATCCTCAGAGGGTGCCGTACATCAAAGTAGTCAAGCCACCTTGACCACACTCTTCACCAAAAGAAGCGACCGCATGCAGAGGAAAAGTCTGGTGAAGAAGTTGTTTACCTATATATTCTACATATGTATCATGAAAATTGCATTCCTTTCGAAAACAGCGATCGGATGAACAGAGGTGCGTGCGCTTATCAGATCACAGAGGCGAATGGATTTGGAGGTGAGGCTCCAGAAAATGCAAAGGAGACTGTCTCAGATTGATGGAAGCGGTTGAGGCAGACGCGCTAGCTGCACCCGTTTCAGATCCCCCATCTCCTCGCAATTCACCAAGAGCTTTTGGTGACCGGGCTGCAAAAAACCATTGCTTGGTGGGGTGGTGAGGCCTTTGCAAACTGACCAACATTGACTTTTGGCAAATTGTTTGATCGTACCATTTAGTTCCTTCATGACGGAACTTGGCCTGTTCCACATGACGGGAGGTTACACGCGCGACGGAGGAGTGATAACACGGTACGAACCCAGGCCGTGGTGAATTTTGCCACATTGGATTGCCAGACCGTCACTGAGAGGCCTCCAGCAGAGGTAGGGCGACCCCACTACATTCCGGTGGACCTTCACCACGTTGCAGAATTGGCATCGACCTCAATTCTTTGGATTGACAACAATGACCGGAGTTGATAATGAGTTGATTTCGTTCCCCCTGCTGAGGTTGAGGTGGAGTATCCGGACAGGTCAGCGGGGCTCGTTTGGGGTCACTCATTCAGTGGGAGGCATGGGGCTTTCTCAGTTGGGCAGGGGTACCGCACGTGTTTGGCGAGTTCCCCGTGGACTCTGAGGCAAGTAGTTGTCCCACCCCAAACATGCACACCGCGGGGCATGTCGGAGCGTTGGGAGACGAGCAATGTACAGATTATATATGTACAAATCAGCCTAGCGGCCTTTTTGTTCGTCAGCCCCTAGTAGCGTCCTTGCTCCTAGTAGTAAGGCCAGGAGCCCCTAGTAGCTTCTTGTTCCTAGTAGCGATGCCCTTTGCTCCCAGTAGCGTCCTTATGTTCGTAGTATGTACAAATCAGCCTGGAGGCCGAAAAGGCTTCGTTGATCTCGAACCACCCACGCATTGCAAAGAAGCAGCAGGATGCACCACCGGAGCTTGACTGCCCTTGCAATAGCGGCGGTGTGTGCTTTGTGTTGGGCATGCAAGCCACGTGTGCCTCAGGCCATTTGCATGACATCATTAGTATCATCATAGAACAACTGAAATTGAATATGTCTAATTATGACCTCTAGGCCCTACGGATTTAGCAACTGTGCATTCAGGTGAAGCATACCGACTCAAACATGACAAAGAACATCAAAAAACGTTGAGGCGACAATTATCAACACTCTCAGTTGCAATTGTTGCAGTTTCACTAATCACCAGCAGACCCTGCGAACTTGCCCAACCATTCCTCTTCGAATGGCGCTCGACGGGCGCATCGCTGGGCATGGGATAGGTACTGAATCATTTGATGTGTTTTTCGTTCTGAATGTTTCCACCCTTAAATCCCGCAGGTGCCCTGAAAGATGGAAAGCCGCCTGATGAAACTGACTCACAGTTGCACCAAAACAGCATGCTGATGCTTGTCAGTTCGAGCCCTCACATGGCCGGCTTGCTCACCACGATACTATTGCAACTTCAGGACAATGCAAACTATTTTTGTGAGTACGCGTTCCTCTACCACCAGATGGACATGCTTGAGGCCTTCATTCGGGGATTTCAAAGCGTTGGTGGTTCGGTGGCTTCTGAATTGTACGGTTCAAGAGTCGAACTAGTAACCAGGGCAATACTGCTAGTGAGTGGCAAGGACGCTACTAGTAGCTCCTGGCCTTACTACTAGGAACAAGAAGCTACTACAAGGGCATCGCTACTAGTAACCAGGGCACTACTACTAGTAGCATGCATTCCTTGTGTCACACTGCCCATCCTTCCAATGCTCAAATGGTTGTCGCGTTGTATTCTTGTTCTTGATGCTCTTCTGGGGGGTGCTAGGATGAACCTCGGACTGGAGCCTATTTCAATGCCATTACGCTGCACGCTTAACTTTCGCTCACTATGTTTTGCCATGCGTACAGCACTTTTTCTTGCACCTAAAATTTTTGAAAATTTTAAAACGCGCAGGATTGGACATGTGCCCAGGTGGAACCCTGAAAGCTTCAAAGATAAAGTCGTGCGAATCTCGGCCATTCATGAAGTGGGTGCTCCTCATTCGGTGTCACGCTTGGAGCTCTAGGTGCTGGATGTTGGTGCTGGGACTTGCATCCTGTCTCTCGCATGCATCAGGATAAATGTTTAGGCTCACCGGGTGCTGTGACCAAGGTCTATGTTCGCCGCGAAGGCAGGGGCCAAGGAGGTCTTCGCAGTCGAGGCTGCCTGCACCTACTTGATGCGAAAAGACTGTCATGTTCTTCCTTCTTTTGCATGAACAGGGCTTTTATAAGGATGCTTTGTGAGCTCGCATTTTTCCGCAAGAATAAGACTCTGGATGGATTCTGATCCAGGCCACTGACATGGCAGTTCGCAGCCGAAAACTTGTCCAAGCTCAAGGCTACTGAACTGAATTCATGAAGTTCAACGTACTGAAGAAAATTGGTAGAAAGCGATAGCAGACTGCTTCTATTTCCTCTTGGGCAGGCCTAAGCCACATAATCAAGGTGCTGCAGGGAACAGTGGATGCCCGGATAGTTAAAGTTTCTTGCAATTGTTCGCAACGCATACCGACAAAGCGACCAAAGTGACCGACGAAAGTCCGAGGAAACAGTAACCTTGCCTTCGATGGTTGATGTCATCATCAGTGCCGCCTGGCCAACTCAGCCATTTGCTTTGGGCAGTTGCATGGATGATGGTGTATTTTTTGCATGTCAACTGAGCATTCAAGGAATGGATGGGCTACTTCCTTTTGCGCGAAAGCATGCTCGACAGCACCATGTCGCAATTTAGACATTATGATGATATATAATATCCAATAATAATTGTAATACTAAACGCATCTTAAGAATATAGCAGCGGTAGCACGTGTTGGGTTTGGAACCGGGCGGAGTGCCAAGGTGTGTTGATTGCTCGGGACCGCTTCCTGAAACCAGGCGCAGCTGCAGTTTGGCCTTTGTGCAGCTTCATCATTTTTTTGGCTTCACCGCTTCACTTCGTTGGCGTCGCCAGGAGGTGCTTTGTTCCCTTCGCACGCCACGCTGTTTTTGGCGCCGGTCGGGTCTGCAAAAGCATGCCGGGAGAAGCAGCAGACCTTTGATGGGGAAAGACAGTCTCATCCTGAAATCACTTGTAAAGTTTCTCAGTGCGTGGGCAGAAGGGGACTACCTTTTGCCCAGGCATTTCGACAATTTCAACTGCACAATGATGCAGTACTATGGGACCGACTTCTCATGCATGCAAGAGGAGTTCCTTGAGGAACAGAGGAAGTGACCCATGAGGTATTCAATGCATGTGTGCTGCCGTTCTGATCCATTCTGCAAGTTGTTCAGGTATTATTTGCAAACAGGGATGTTTGTCAATCTAGCGTTCGTGCCCCAGCTCCCCAGCATCCCAGATCCAGCGATTTTACTTGCCATTTTGTTGGTGAGGCCAAAGCAATTGGCTGGCAGTGGCAGCCCTGTGCTTGAGATCGACCTCTCAACGATCACCTTGCAGGATTTGAAGGCCTTTGAGTCTTAGAGATCATGAGGTTTTGAGTTCAATCGTATCAGTGGTGTATACTGTATACTTTTATGCGGATTGAAGAGGCCTAGCTGCCTTAGTGTTGGGGAGCGATGTCATAGCCGATGCCCTTTCACTACAATTCAGGACTCAGCAAAGCCACTCAGATGTTGCATGAGGACGCGCTGGAGTGAGGTTTCTTTTGGGGCTCGCAAGTGCAGGTAGTAGTAGCTGAGCTGCTTGCTCCTAGTAGCGATGCCCTTGTTACTAGTAGCGATGCCCTTGCTCCTGGTAGCTTCTTGTTACTCGTATGTTTCTTTGATTCAACAGCGAAGATTAGGGGTCTTCAGCCATGGCAAGGACTTCGGAGGAACCGGAGCAGGTTCCGGAGAAGGTACCGAAGCCGGTTCTAGTGCAAGTTCCGACGGGGCTCTGGCTTTGCTCCGGAGCGGGACGCAAGTTCAAGTTCCAGAGCAGGTTCTGGAGTAGGTTCCGGAGCACTGCGCAGCGGTGTTACTGACTCGCTGACATGCTGCTACACTGACTGCTACACTGACGTTGTCATGGCATAGTGCTGAAATGCCGTTTTGCTGGCATGGCGTCACGCTGGCATGCATTTTCATTCTGTCAGGCTGCCACTCCCGCGTCGTAAGCAGTCGACGTTGAACCAGTTTACTGCTTTGCCATGGTAGCTTGCAAACAGGCTGTCCTGCTGACGTGCTGTTCTTGTTGACATGCTAGCATGCCGTCACGTTCACATGCTGAGGTGTTGTCACTCCGTTTGTTTTCCTTTTTAAATTCCGGCTGTCATACCGACGTGTTCTCAGGCCGTCGCGCTGACATGTTGTCATACTGGCACTGACACCGGTCACTGGTTCTTGTCACGCTGGGGTGCTGACATCACGTCATGCTGTCGTGACTGTCGTGTTGACATGCTGGCGTGCTCCAGAGCGGGGTACGGAGCAGGTTCCATGGGTCTTGCCTGTTGCTGCGCTGTCATGCTTTCACACATGCAGCCACACATGTTGCATGGCACGTTGAACGGTGCCACGTGTTTCAAAACAGCATTGTTTGGCAAAGGCCCGGTCCCTGCTAGTGAACTTTCGATGCTTTGGATGTGGCCATGGCCAAATAGGCGAACTCATGCCCGACTGTTGAGGTTCTTTTTGGTTCAATTTTTAGTCATTGAGTCATTCATGTGTATTTGTTTCATGTTTCACCTCTTTTCATGAGGATCAGCAGGGACAGCCAACTGGAGGGGTTCACAGGGCAGGGAACCACAGTAATTGACAATTGGTGAGTGTTCACCAAATTCTTGGCTCATCCTGCTAGGTACTTCAACGTGACCTTCCGGGGATCGACCCAAAATCCAGTGAAAGAGGCCGGAGAGCAGGGACCAGGCGTTCAAAGCACAGGATGCGATTGTCATGCGCCTTGCGCACTCACGCAGATCACATTGTGGCCAAACATGTTTAAAGCTTCTGGGTTTGCTGCTGGTCAGCGTTACATAGTGTCACCTCGAAAGTTTGTTGGGTCTCAGGCCTATGACAATGTTCCCCGGTAAGTGCTACACAGTTGCCGTTGTTTGCATTGCTTTGTGACAGTTGTCTCGCAGGTCGTGGAGTTGACCACTGCACCAACCACCAAAACCGCCACACATTGGGGGCAGCAGCTGGAGACCAAGGTATACTTGTCATCTATATAACTGGTCTATTGGGGTTCGGGTTTCGCGCGTGTGGCGCACATCTCCCTCGTTTGTGTGTTTGTTTCGCTTCGTTCCACTTTGTTTTGTGAAGCATTTGAGCTCTGTAGTTTCAGGCTTTTTGGTTTCTTCCCACCGCTCCAAGCCAAGAATGAAGATGTCCTCGAGTGCCAGCTCTTTATCAAGAGGCTGATTTGAACGCATTGTGAATCATTAATGTAGTGTCATAACATGACTGGAGGCAAAAGAAGAACCACCGGCTTCTACAACTAGATTCAGCTTTTGAGCTTTGTCGTGGGGATCTCATTCTGCCATATCATGCCAGCTCGTGGAGAGCGGGGAACCAAGGTGAGAGCAACGGCAAACGTTTCGTTTGTCAGAAGCGGGAGGCGGTCACCTCCCGAATATTCAGAGATTAGCACTTTTTCCGTTTTGTGAATCTTATGAATGGAGTCAATGAGATATGTTGTGTCATTTGAGCCTCCATGCATTGAGAGCTTGAAGTTCAATGGTTGCCAACAATCATTTTCAGGACACGTGGTACGTGGACTGATAGCTTAGCAAGTGTTGTTGCTGTGAATCACGGCAAAAGATGTCGCCGGGGTGGGAGTTTTTTTTGTTGCTTGTTTATTTGTGTGCTTGTGTAAGTTGGAGCCCAAAAACCGATCGCGGATTTTTCTGCTCTAAGGGATTGGCACAGCCATGTGAGCCGAAACCCAGAGCACGGTAGACAGATGACAAGATCCACATAACTATATATAGTTAATCTAGCTGCAGCAGTACTTTTCAGATTTGTTAGGCTGGCTTGCGCATTCCACATTGCTGCATGACTCGGGCCCAGCTGATGGCAGGAAACTGGCTGTGTCGCTGCCAAATGAGGAAATGGACAGGCGTGAAACGGTGAGTATATAACATGCTGGTATACAAAAGTTATGTAATGCAATACAATACAATGTTAATTATGTATGTAACGTAGTGTAATGCAATGCAATGTATGTATGTAGGTAGGTACGTAGGTAGGTAATTAGAGTGGGTGGGTGCGTGGGTAGGTAAGTAGGTAGGTAGGTAGGTAGGTTGGTAGGTAGGTAGGTAGGTAGGTGGGTATTTATATAGGCACTTTTTTCTCCAAACAGTTCACTGTCGGGGATCTCTCTTAGGAAATCAGATGCTGGCCAGAGTCTTTGGCCGCGCCCTTGAACCCTGTGTCCGGGTGACCTCCTGTTGTCCTCTTCTTGTCCTCCAGTCTTCCCTTGGCGCTCGCTGTGTCCTCCTCTTGTCCTCGTAGCTGTCGTCTGGCCGCGCTGACGATGTGTGTGTGTGTGTGTCTCCTTGTTTTGTCCTCTTGGTGTCCTGTCGTCCTCTGTTCCCCCAAACAGTTTAGTGCACTCGTCCGGTCCTTGTCCGGGTCTATGTCTATGTGTCCTGCTTGGCCGCGCCATGGGCTGGGTGCCGTGGGCCTTTCTTCCTTGTGAGGGCTTTGTCCAGGCCTTGTCCGGGTTTGTCCTGGTTGTTTGTGTTGTATATATAGGCCCTTTTATCACCGCCTTGTCACGGCCTTATCCCCTGCCTGCTTGTCCATGCTTTCCCTTTCTCCATCGCCTTGTCCGGGTATGTCTTCGTGTGGCTATGAATGCAACAGTGATGCAGTCAGTGTTTGATATCATCCTCGGATTTTCTCATGACATATGCTCCTCGGCAATCAGAGACAATTGTTTTCTAATGTTCTCTATCGGTAACATTCATTGTTTACATCCACCAATATTGGAAGGGGTCTATGCTGGCATAGTTTTATTCTATTTATATTAGCACATAAGTATGTTTTGGCTCCTGGCCGCCAAACACCCAACAAAAAATGCATTCTCTTGGCAGTGCCCAATCAACAACATAAATTCCTTGATTGCAAACAACTACCGTACATCGGAGTCAGCTGAAACGGCGAAGGGTATTTCCAAAAGAGCAATGGACACTAAGTATTATGTGGGGTGGTTCACTTGTTCTTTCTTGTGCAACTTGCAGAAACATGTGACTGAGATCCAACTACTCCTCCAACCCGTTTCCGCAGCATGCTTGGCATTCTCAGGTTTTCCATGCTGAATTTGACACCAAAGATCTCTGCAGAAATGTCAGGAATTGAGTTGCAATGGCTTATTTTGCAATGACTTTCGAGAGTCAGCCCTCTGTATTTGGGGTGCCATTTAGGATCATTTTAGGAGATTTTGCAAATGGTTAAGTTTTTGGGGCCTGTCGTGGGTCAATTTTGCTAACCATTCTGAAAAATTTTGAAATCTACAATATATACAATTGATATTTTGCACATTTCGGGAGGAGGCTACGTGCCTCCACTGGGAGATCGCGACACAAGAAGTTTTGGCTGCTTCAGCAGCTGCGTTTTGGACAAGAAGCGGCAGGCGACTGGCAGCAGCAGTTCTCAGTCGTATTCTTGCGCGGGTGTCTCAAGTGTAGAGTGTGGGCCATTCTGGCACGCACAAGGCGAAGAGGCTACACTCAAGCCACTGCAAATTGCACGATCGCTGGCACAGCTGCAGCGGAGTGAGTTGCTCACCTCCCCACAGGAACAATAATTTTCTTCTCTTCTGAACTGCGAATCCTGCTCCTGGCTGTTTCCTGCGAGGACTATGCTTTGGCCATTCGGGCCTTTGGCACCGTTGGATGGTGGAGAGATGCTATGGCCTTATTGCGGTTGCGTACGGGAGGCGGGGCGCATTGAAGTTAGAGATGGGACTCTGCGAACTTTATCTGACACGTTCGGCAAAGGCGAGTGCAGAAACCTTGACATCGACCGTACTCCTATGAGACCTAACTGCACTAAGGCAAATAAGGACAGTACTAGGAACAAGTTTATCGCTTCTAGTAACAAGTGCCTTACTAGCAGTAACAAGAAGCTATTAGAAACAATATATAGATTATGTACAGGATTGGTAACAAGTAAGGCACTTGTTACTACTAGCGATGCACTTGTTACTACCGACTTGCAAGGTACAATGCCGCAGTTGCAGCGCTTGAGACTGCCCCCCAGCGCTGGCGGCTCGCGACCGCTTTGTGGGGCGAGTGTTCTCGAATGATCAACACCACCAATGCAGTGGCTACAGCGATGAAAAGCGCGGGGCCAAGCACATGGCTTCAAGTTCTTACGCGACTTTCAGGGGCTCAAACTCAATGCCTTCCAGAACTCAAACCTAGAGCCGTTTATATAAACGCAGTCATGCTGTGAATTCCTGTGATAATTTGCCACGCTTGGGAGGCACTATGCTGTGGGAAGAAGCCTTGTCCGTCTACGTGCGTTCGGAATCTTTGG